ATAATTCTATATTTGTGGGTGTGATTACTCGCAAAATGTGGGACTGATAACCTCACCCACCCCAATATCTAATCATCACTTCTTTCTACTCCTCTCACACTTCCTTCTTCAGTACACCAGCGCCTCCCCTTCATTTCACATCATTGTTTCTCTCTCCAACCTTTTTTTTTACATTCTGCTCCTCTCCTAACAATCCTTCTCTCCCATTTGTTTTCTCTCTTCATTTCTTACCTGGCCGTCAAAAAAGTAGAGGGAATCCAATATCCCATTTTGTTTGATTGTTGCTTTTGTTCGTCCCTTTAGTTCTTTCCAATCTGTGCTTTTGATCCATTCCTTTTGCTCATTTGTAGGCCACGGGAATGCCTTTTATGCTGCAATTTAGTTGTCAAAGATCCCCGCACGACACTGTTGAATCGTTGAGTTCCATTGATGAAAAACAAGAACCGAGTACTTCCGTTGGAGTGGGGAACATAGATGAATCCGACTTGAGTAATCCTCTTCCCACCTTTTCTGTCTTTAGCACTAAGCTTCTCCTTTTCCTTTTGGGTTTCTGCTCTGCTATGCATTATTGTGGATTTAACGATTTTCTCCGATTAAACAAGGTAAACTGAACCAGGATCCATCATCTTCGCTGGGGCTATTTGTTGATTGAGTTGAGTTAGGCCCATACGTATATAGCTATGTAGCCCAGCCCATGCACATACATAGTTGTGCGTAACCCTTGTACGTCCCTCTAGCCAAGTTAGGGTTTATTCACGTATATATACCCTTTGTACTTGATGTAGCCGATTATTGAGTGAATAAGAGATATACGCATTGTGCCATGGATTAGTCCCAGCGATTACGATCGTTGAGGTACCACGTAAATCACGTCTTTCGTTCTCGTAATCTTAACATGGTATCCGAGCTTCCATCCATGGAGTTCGATACTATCTCCGTTCGTTTGACCTCTCGCAACTATGCAATGTGGGAGTTTCAGTTTCTTACCTTTATCGAAGGTAAAGGGCTTCTTGGCATGATCGACGACACCACCATCAAGCCAAAAGTCCCACCGTCATCCGCTGAAGATCTGGCTCGATGGAACCAGAACAACGCTCTTGTCCCTACCTGATCCTCAACTCGGTGGATCCGACGATCATCCTTGGGCTTCGTCTCTTGCCCACTGCTCCCTATATATGGAGGAATCTCACTGAGACTTATTTCTCAACCAATGATGCGCATCAGTTCGAGCTAGAATTGGAGCTTGCCCGTCTTCACCAAGGAGATCTCGACGTGACCTCCTTCTACAATGTTGCTCGTATTCTTTGGACCGAGCAGGACCTGCTCTCTACTGTTGTGCTGACTCAGGAAGCCTCGGCTGTCGTACAAGAAGAACGTGCCCGTACACGCCTTCTCCAATTCCTCATGCGCTTGAAGCCAGAATATGAGCCCATCCAAGCCTCTCTACTCAATCGTGAGAAGCTGACTATGGAAGGTGTGTTGGAACTCCTCCTTCGAGAGGAAACACGTCTCCGCACTCAAGTGCAACTCGACCTCCGTCCCTGCAAGGGGGAGGCGGTGTTTAGCGTCGGCGATGGGTCTTCAGGCGATGCTGAAACGGCCTATGCTGCGAACCATCCACAGTTTCAACGGCCTGTCAACACTACTGATATCTACTGCCACCATTGCAAAGAAAAGGGTCACACACAAAATCATTGCCGCAAGCGAAACTTTTGTAACTATTGCAAGGCAAGTGAACATATCATTCTCAATTGTCCCGTGTTGAATCCAAGTGGGCGTCAAAGACCACCGAGATCTCGTGGACCTACTCCAAGACAATCTGGCGGGGCTGCTCCATCTTCACGACTGGCCTATGCTACTCAAGTTGCTGCACCAGGTGGGTTTTTTTGTTAATGGGGAGTCCATCGAGCAGCTTTTGAACTCAGCTCTCCAGAAATCACTTCCCACGGCTCTCAACTCCGCCCTTTCATCCCTACAAATTTCCGGTAAGGTCCCTCCTTGGATATTAGATTCGGCATGCTTCAATCACATGAGCACTAAGAACTTATTACATAATTTGTCACCGGTTCATGATATGTCTCTCGAGGTTGCTAATGGTCAGCGTCTTCAAGTATGTGGAGTTGGTTCAATTTCTATGCCTAAGCTCCATCTACGTAACAACTTATATGTTCCATCTTTAGTTCCGAATTTGGTGTATGTGGGACAACTGACTGAGCAAGATTGTTGTGTTATGTTTGCACCCTCGGGCTGTTTTTTTCAGGATCTAAAGACATGGAGGCAGATCGGAAGGGGGAGTAGAAGAGTTCGCACCTTTTGGAGGAGCTTAATCATTCATCGGAATCTACTGTCTCTCCCAATTCGGTGTCTAGGTCATCAGTTCCTTTTCCTTATGAATTCACGAGTCAAAACAATAATTCCTTTTGCTTGTGGCACTCTCGTTTAGGTCACTTAAATTCGAGTCGTCTTGAGTTTATGTTCAAACAAAATTTGTTGGGTCGGAATAAGAATGATTGCTCCCTTGATTTTCGTTGCACGGCTTGTGTTGAAGCTAAAAGTACTCGTAGCTCTTTCCCTTCGAGCACAACAGTTATATCGGAACATTTTCATCTTATTCATACGGATTTGTGGGGACCAAGTCCTTTCACTTCTCGAAACGGGTATTGGTATTTCGCTTTGTTTATCGATCATGTGACCCGTTATACATGGGTTCACTTTCTTCGTCTCAAATCTGAACTTTTTGCCGTGGCTACTGAATTTTTAACCATAATTCGTACTCAATTTGATAAGACTGTGAGAGTCATTCGTTCTGACCCAGGTGGCGAGTTTAGTTCTCATGAATTCCTGGACTTGTATCACTCGATGGGAATATTGTGCCAAAAATCCTGTTCAGGTGTTTCAGAACAGAACGGCATGGTGGAACATAAAAATCGTCACGTTCTGGAACTAACTTGCGCCCTTCTCCTATCCTCTCATGTTCCTCCTCATTGTTGGCCTGAAACTGTAGCTAGCTACTATTGTTCGTCTTACAAACTATCAGCCCACGTCTGTTCTTAGCAACCGAAGTCCTTATTTCGCTCTCTACTCTAAACATCCTGTTTATACTCTTATTAGGGTCTTCAGATGTACCTGCTTTGTCCTTTTTCCTAAGCGGGAGCGTTCCAAATTATCGTCTAAAATAGCTCGTTGTGCCTTTTTAGGTTACAGTGACGTTCATAAGGGATATATATGTTATGACCCGAGTCTCCAACGTGTTCGTATTTCATGCGACGTCGTTTTCTTTGAAATCTCACGTTCTACACCTCTAAGATCCCAATTCCAGAAGAAACTTTTGAAGAGAGAGAGAGTTTCTGTCTTTTTTCTCTCTCCTCTCTCCTGTCCTGTGACCCTTTTTCTTTCCCGTTGACGACCGTTGGGAGCGAGCCTCCCTCGGTGGGGGCTGATTTTAGCCTGAAATCGCCAGACGGATCGCCGGTAACCACTCCAAGTAAACCCAGCAAACGAGCGAGAGCTAGCAGTGGCGAGGGTTTCTCTGGCGAAGGCGAGATGGACTTTGAAATTGTTACAGCAAGAGCGATGGATAGTGACTTTGGAGAAGAGGGAAACTCGAAAGAGGTACTGCCGGGAGCCAAGGCTATGGAGACAGAACATGGAGGGGGAGGGTCTCCTATAAAGACTTTCTCCTTGGAAATGGTCCATCCGAAGAGATACCCGAAGGAGATGAGTTGATGTCCGATGAATCTGAAGGAGAAGATGCTGAAGATGATCTTGATTGCCGCACAATTCGGATTAAGAAGAGTACTAATGCCCGTGTGCGCAATCGATGGAAGCGTGTTATTACCTTCTGTGTCCTAGGAAGGAGCTTTCCCTTTGCTTTCATCCACAGAAGAACTCAGAAGATGTGGGCAAGAACAGGAGGGGTTAAGATTGGGGACATTGGAAACGGTTTCTTTCAAGCGATCTTTGACTCGCAACTCGATCATGATCGTGCACTCTACGGGGGGGCGTGGACTATCGAGGACCACTATATCGCCTCGGAATCATGGCGGTTGGATTTCGACCCCGATTTTGACTCGATTCACAGAGCTTCGGTCTGGGTAAGACTTCCAAGACTTCCTCTTGCTTACTTTGATGAAGAGATTCTTACTGACATCGGGGATAAGCTGGGGAGAGTGGAAAAGATTGACTTTAATACGACAAATGGGTCAAGAGGAAACTATGCTCGTATTTGTATCGAAATTGACCTCAGGAAGAATCTTGTATCAAAGTATAGGATCAAAAGGAGGGTCAGAAGAGTGGAATATGAAGGTCTTCATACTGTGTGCTTTGGGTGTGGCGTTTATGGTAGTCTCGAGGACTCATGCCCTCAGGGCCCCCTTAAGGCTTCATCGACATCTGATGAAAGAATGAAGAGTATGAACAAACCTAAAGAACCAGTGATCAGGCCAGAAGTTGTGGAGGACTTCGGACCTTGGATGCTTGCTACAAGGAATCGAAGGAAACCAAGACAGCAGCCTCAAGAGCAATCTGGGAAGAAGGAAAAAGGGGAAAGTGAGCAGAAAATGCAGGACCCTTCGGGGTCAAGGTTCACTGTACTTGAAGAAGACACAGAAGAGGGAATTGAGGACAAGAATGAGCCACAGAAGGTTGGAGGTGGGTCTACAGGAAAGGATATGGAGACAAATAATGAAAAGGGAAAGGATGAGGGGACTGGGAAGGAAAATTCAAGCAATGAGAAAGGCAAAGAGAAGCAAGCTGTAAGCCAGAAGAAAGAAGGGAGAAAGAACAATGATAATACAGCTAATGAGCAAAATAGAAAACCCCACCTAAAATCAACCCCGGAGAGCAGTCAAACAAAAACAAAGATGAAGACGTCTCAGGGTAAATAGGATGGCTTTGGATCGAAGAAAGCTACTGATGTAAGTAGTAAGGTCAGTGGTCCCATATCCTCTGCTGTCAAACTAGTGGCATCCACCAGCCTTACCACACCTCCCAAACCAAAGATGGGGGCAGGCAAGGAGAAATCAAAGGATGCCAAACAAGGCCATCAACCAAAGATGAAGGAGGTACAGACCAAACTGATCAAAAGTCCAGACAAAAAGCACCCTCTACCACCGGAAAATGTGGCGTACCTCACCCGCAAAATCAGTTTTGATGCAAAGCAGGCTAAGGAAAAGATGAAACCTGAAAATGTTAACCAGGCTCTGTCGACAACTGCAAATTGTAGCGGAGAACTGGAAGAGACGGCAATGGCCGTCGACCTATCCTGATCCCAACCGTGTGTTGCCGAAAGGGAAGTCACTCTTAATCCCTCCCATGATTAAAGTCTTCTCTTGGAATTGCAGAGGTGCTCGACACCTCAAATTTCGTCCCACCTTTGATTACTATAAGTCTACTCATAAACCAAGTATTGTTTGTATTGTTGAACCCAGGGTTAGTGGGAAGGATGCCATTGACATCATCCAAAAGCTGGGGTTTGACTCTTCGGAAATCTTCGACGCTACGGGGTTCAGTGGAGGTATCTGGCTGCTGTGGAACAAAAGGGAGATCCAAATGCGTAATCCCTTGATCCACAAGCAGTTCATTCACCTAGAGTGTACTACAAGCAACGGAGAGACTGCTGCCCTGAATGTTATCTATGCGAGCCCGAACGAGCATTCTAGAGGAGAGTTGTGGGAGGCCCTTCGTGGCATCAGTAGTAGAACCCGCTGCCCCTGGATGTTGTTTGGCAACTTCAATTCTATCACCAGGCCAACTGAAAAGCAAGGAGGATCTAACTTCAACTTTTCTAAAGTTAAAGCCTTTGTGAGCTTTATTGAAGATTGTGGCCTGATGGATCTTGGCTTCTCTGGTCCGAAGTTCACCTGGTTCAAAGGGGGATCAGGAGTTAAAGAGAGACTTGACAGAGGGCTATTCAATTTGGCATGGAACCACAAGTTTTCCCAGACTACTGTCTTCCACCTGGTCAAGATGAAATCGGATCATAGACCGATCCTACTGTGCAATAAGAGCAACCCGGGGAACTCTAAACTGGTGAGACGATTCCAGTTTCTTGCTCCCTGGCTTGCGCATGATGAGTTCATTCCTTTTGTTTCATCCTCTTGGAAAACTGGCCAGCTTTTTTCCTGTGCTTTGCATGACCTTTCACTGAAGCTTCAAGGCTGGAACAAAGACGTTTTTGCCAATATCTTCAGAAGAAAGAGGAGGCTTGCTCAGGAACTGGGATCCCTTGAAAGCCTAAATGCAAGACTTCCTACCTCAACTTCTCTAGAGAAGGAAATTAGCGCCAGGAAGGAACTGGAGGATGTTCTCTGGCAGGAGGAAATCCTCTGGTACCAAAAATCCAGAGCGAATTGGACTATCCATGGAGACCTTAATACAAGGTTCTTCCATACCAGCATGTTGACTAGAAGGAAGAGAAACAAAATTGTTTGTCTTAAGAATGAGGAAGGGCAATGGATCACTGACACGGATAAGCTTCAGGATTTGGCCCGAGATCATTTTGCTCAGCTTTTCACCAAAGTTTCCAAGGATTCCCAGTATTCCATTGCAGCCTTATTCCCTGCTCTTGAAGGGCGCAAGTGGGAAGCCTCAAGAATCACCCAACTTTTGAGGAGATCCACTGCATTGTTAAAGATATGAATGGATTGAAGGCTTCTGGCAAGGATGGGTTTCATACCCTTTTCTTTCAAAGATGCTGGAAGTCTGTTGGCCAGGATTTCTTCAGGTTCATCCAGAGATGCTTCAGGGACCCTGACAGCATACGCTTGCAGAATGAGACCCTGCTTGCACTCATTCCAAAAGTGGATTCTCCGAGCACAATTAGTCACTTCAGACCAATGTTGTTAGAATCGAACCGTCGTATGAACCGGTATAGTAAAAGGTTCGAACTTTAGTGGTTTAACCGATATTAGACCGTTATAAAACCGTTAATGAACCGGTATCTACTAAACAAGAATATTATACACTACACGTATATTAGCACACTAGATCATGAGTACATCATTCATTAACAAATTTAAAATATAATTACTAAAATAAAAGTACTAACTGCTAAAGTACAAACCTTAATGTTCCAATTTAATTAACCATAACATAGGAAGGAAAAACTATAAAAAAATCCAAAAGCTAAAAATAATTAACCATAGCACGACCTTAATGCATGGTCCATTAAACCGTACCGTACCGACGGTTCAACCACAAAATACCAGTACCGGAGGCTAAACCGATAGGCGGTATTTAACGATACTAACGGTTGAACTACGATTAAACCACGGTTTTTTCATAAAATACCCTACCACTTACTTTTCCGGTACAGTCTCCGGTACGATTTCATGGATCATGCCTTAATGTTCCAATTTAATTAACCATAACATAGGAAGGAAAACTATAAAAAAAAAATCCAAAAGCTAAAAATAATTAACCATAGCACGTGTGTACTAGATAAGAAAGGTTGAAAAGTGGAGGCCACAGCCCACACTCGCCTCTCCCCTCTCTCTATCAATTCAACTTTTAATTTCTCCTCTCTGTTATTTACGAATAAACGATCGATTCCCTCTATCCATTATTCACCTTCTGCTTCTCTATCTATTCTTGGGATTCTTCTAATCCTTCGACATAAACGATCGATCCCCTCCATCCCTCTTTCTGTTTCGTCTTCTTTGAGCTATCGATCTATCTTTCTCTTACTCGATCTGACTTCTTCTCACTTTATTTCTGGAAACGACGATGGCTATGTAGGTGGGATTAGCCTTCGCCGTTGATGATGACAGCAACGGAAGACAGCTGCTCAATTGAGAACCACAATTGAATGAACCCTAAATCTAGTATTTTCATTTTTTTAAACCAGGTGGTCAGAAGGCAAAAACCGGTTGAACGGTTCGAGCGGCTTGAATGGTTAACCATTTTGGCCGCTCGCCGATCGACCTTTCTGACCGCTGCGATTCTGGAGGCAATTCAACCCGGGCTGGTGACCGGGTGTCGGCTTTACCGGTCCGACCGAACGGGTCGGGTCGGCTTTAATAACATTGCTTCAGACCCATCAGTCTGTGCAACGTGGGGTATAAAGTGGTGGCTAAATGAATAGCAAACCAGCTTAAGCATCTTATGCCCCATTTGGTCAAACCTACTCAGTCTAGCTTTGTTCCAAATCTGCACATTACTGATAATATCCTCATTTTGCAGGAGACTGTGCATTCGATGGCAAGAAAGAAGGGACAGAAAGGCATGATGCTACTCAAGATAGATCTTGCAAAAGCATACGATAGGTTGGATTGGGAGTTCCTTGAGGAAACACTCACTCTGGCAGGAGTCCCTCTTAACATGATCAAGATCATCATGAAGTGCGTCACTATTGTGGAAATGCAAGTCATGTGGGAAGGTGGAGAGACTCAGAGCTTTAAACCAAGCAGAGGGCTCATATAGGGATGTCCCATTTCCCCTTATCTTTTTACATTATGCGTAGAGAGATTAGGTCATTGCATCTTAGAAGAAGTTAGAGAGCTTAAGTGGAAACCACTAAGATTATCCCCTGGAGGGCCTCCCCTTTCCCGCCTTTTCTTCGCTAATGACCTGGTTCTATTTGCTGAAGCCTCCTTGAAACAAGCAGATGTCATTAACACATGTGTTGAGAGATTCTTCTTGGCTTCAGGAGAGCTTGTAACCAAGGAGAAGTCCAGGATTTTCTTCTCTAAGAATACCAAGGATAGGGACAAGAAGAATATCTGTTATAGGATTGGAATTCAGTCAACCTTAGACTTAGGAAGGTACCTTGGTGCACCTGTCATTCATGGGAGGATTACTAGGAACAAGTATAGGTATATAATTGAAAAAATTGACCAGAAACTCACCTCGTGGAAAGCTAGAACCTTGTCGTTAGCTGGGAGAGTGACCCTTGCACTCTCAGTTCTTAATGCCATCCCTTCTTACGCTATGCAAACCACTCTGCTTCCTGCCTCAGTTTTTGATTTGATTGATAAAAAGATTAGATGGTTTGTTTGGGGATCCAATGAGGAGAAAAAGAAAGTGCATTTGGTTTCCTGGGATAAAGTGTGTCAACCTAAGAACCAAGGGGGACTTGGCTTAAGAACTGCTAGAAGTTTGAACATGGCTTTCATGATCAAGCTTGCCTGGAAAATTCTTAATAATGGTTCTGACCTTTGGGTGCAGGTGATGCAAGGAAAATACTTCAAACATGTTGATGGGCAGATCGTGGTTATGAAAAGACGCAATCACTCCGCTTTGTGGAAAGCGATTGTGAAGGCAATGCCCCTTATGAGGAATGCCACCTGCTGGAGCATTAGGAATGGAAGGACAACAAGCTTCTGGAATCACCCGTGGCTGGGCCATGACATCACTCTCAGAGACCATATTCTGCAGACTGCTGACTTGCAGCAGGAAGATAGTTCAGTTGCGGAGTGGACTGATGACAATGAAGAATGGAACTGGCAGAATCTCCATGAATGCCTCCCCCAGAACATTATCGCCCTAGTTGCTGGTATGGAACCTCCTAAAAGCAACCTGGGAGAGGACAAGAGCATCTGGGGTTTGGAAAGGGATGGAAGGTTTCGGCTGAATTCAGCATATAGCCTTGCAGCTGACCAAACCAATTCTGAAGGTGAGTCAATGTGGAAGAAACTCTGGAAATGGAAAGGGCCAAGCCACACCAAACATTTCCTCTGGCTAGTGATGCATGACAGGCTACTTACCAACAAAGAAAGAGTCAAGAGGAAGATGACTACTAATGGAAACTGTAGCCACTGCAAAGATGTGGAAGAGACTACAGACCACATTCTGAGGAAATGCAGCAAAACAACAGCCATCTGGGAAAAATTTAGGTGCAAAGTCACTAACAAAGAAAGCAATCTGCCCTGTAAGGAGTGGATGTCTGCCAATTTAAGTGATGATACCCATGGCGTCGATTTTGGACTTATTGTGTGGCACCTTTGGAAACAAAGGAATGAAGAGTGTATGGATGGGAAGGCTTATGTGGAAAAGTCCCTCATCTGCAGAATTGAGGCCTGGTTCAGCATTTACAAAATGGCATCGCAGAATGTTGAGCGAAGCTTCAAACCACCTGTTGAAAGAAGAGAAGAGGAAATCGGTTGGAGGCCTCCACCTGAGGGATGGGTACAGGTTCAGACTGATGGCTCTGTCCTCTCTCCCTCAGGGTCCGCAGCAGCTGGAGGTCTCCTTCGTGATAGCCTTGGTAGATGCAGCTCTGCCTTTGCCTGCAATCTGGGAAAGTGCTCGATTACTGCTGCTGAGCTGAAAGGGGGGATTGTTGGTTTGCAGTTGGCTTGGGAGAGGGGTTTTCAAAAGTGCAGCTTAAGTTGGACTCAACTACTGGCATTGCTATCATTAGGGATCGCTCTGATGATGATCATCGACATGGAATTCTGGCTAAACATGTCAACCACCTTTTGGATCGTGATTAGAACGTCTCTGTTTCACACATGTATAGGGATGGAAATCGTACTGCATATTTTCTGGCTAACTTAGGCCATAGTCTCACTTTTGGAACACATCATGTTGATGTGTGTTGTTTGGATCTTTGTAGATGGCTTGACTATGATGTAATGGGAATTTCCCAAATTCAGATTATTAATACATGATTCAAGGCGCTTTTGCGCCTGTCTTCTTACCCAAAAAAAAAAGATCCCAATTCCAAGTCTCTTTTGTCCACTATGTTTTCCACTTAGTCCCTTGCCTCATTTTCTAATGATGACACAAATGCCACCTATTCCGGACGTCATTCCTATTGAACAACCCACTGCACCTCGTCGAAGTCTCCGTTCCACCTTGGGCCAACTTCCAGCTCGGTTCAATGACTTCCAAACATATATGATATCCTCCATACCCATTCCCTCACGTTACTGGTTACTCTCAAGTCTCAAGCAAAAGGACACCCTGAGTGGGATGCGGCCATGCAAACAGAGATCGGGGCTTTGCCTGAGAATAAGACATGGGATTTAGTCCCACGACCTCCTGAGAATAAGACATGGGATTCAATTTTCTTTTGTTATATTGTTTATCTGTATAAAACACAAGAAATTATAAAATAATTATTTTTTGCAACGCAGTTTCGTAAAGTGTTGCATAATTTTAGTTGCCTAAACTACTAATTTGCAACACTAGAAAAAAGTGTTGGCATTATATATCTAAGGCAATAGTTTTAGATAGTGTTGCAATCCGTGTGTTGCAAGAGGTCATTTTTCCCGTAGTGACTGTATACAAATTATCTACAAATTATCTAATTAAAGTAATGAAATCTACACTAAACTATCACAAAAGGAACAAGATTTGATATTCTAGCATTTTGGCTTTGCTTGTTGGAGCAAAAACCACTTTTTGAGTGCCAAAATGCCAAAAAAAAATCTGACATTTGGTTGTTGGAGATGGTCTAACCATGGATTATGCACCCATCAATAACTAAATCTGGACCCTTCAATCAAAAAATCCAGATCTAAAGATGGAAAATTAAAGGTCATTTTTATTTTTCCTTGTTTTTTTTAATCGGCTCATATCTTCTTCGTTTTAACTCGGATTTCAAATTTTTTTGCACTGATGGAACGAGTTCTTTTTGCTCTACAAAACGAGATCCATTTTCAATATTTTTTGTGAAAAAAAATTTCTTGCCTCTCGGTACCAACTGCATACCATATGATATCTTCTTCGTTTTTAATTCATTTTTGAAAACGTTTGCACAGAAGGAACGACTTCAACATGATCTATTGGATCTACAAATTTCGGGGTGAACAAATTACAAGACCAAAAAATATCACACAATACCACCCTGGTACGAGGTGGTATCTTGTGGTACACAATGCTAAAAGTCATAAATGACAGTTAATATACTTCTACCAGTGGCGGACCTAGGGGCATTAGGGGGTGTCCTGGGACACCCCTAAATTTTGGAAAAAGCGATTATCCAATCCCCGGTGGTAATTTGCATATGGACAAAAAAATCATAACTAATAGTCCAAGACACCCTGAAATTTTTTTAAACGATTATCCTGCTCTTGTTTGTAGTTTGTGTATCGAAATATAAGTGCTAGTTTGGGTAATTCAAACGGGGGACAACACTATTATTAATAAATATATTTTCCATTAGGCTACAACTTATTTGTTGTTCTATTCTAAACATTGTTTAATAGCAAAACCCTATTATCTATCTTTAATTACTTTCATACTCCCTATTCTTTAATTATTGATTTTATGGTTGTACGACAATTGTTGAAAATGTCTTTTCAGCTTATAGTTACATTAAGAAAAAATTTAGAAGTCGATTATGCGTCAATTCATGAATGATTGTCTAGTAGGATATACCAAGACAAATTTGTTGAGCAGTGTAGACACCAAGTGTATTTTACAATTTTTTCATAATATGAAAATACATTATGGATTTTTTTAAACTTGTACGAGTTGTGTATTTTCTTATTAAGAATTATTTAATTTCTATTAATTAAAATTTTTATTTTTATTTTACTTTATATTTTGAAAGAGGACACTCCTATGTAAAATTCTTTGGTCCATCACTGATTTCTACTACATGTATTCAACCATCCTACAGTCTTGGTTTGTTCATACCACCATAATACGCTTTTCAAACCATAAGTATGCTCTTATTTCAATACCAGTCTATACCATATGGTATAGACTCGTTAGTATTACTCACACAAACCATTACCATTCATAGAAAAATGTGGATGGGAGAGCGGTTTAGATGTTTGCTAATTTTTGGGATTAGGGTTGGGAGCTTAAAGACAAGAATTTGCCTTTTCTCTAATCAAACCCGAATAATTATATGTGCAGGCCAAGTAAAAACCAGACTATGACCCATAATATTAATAAATTAGTTAACACCCATAATTAAAAAAAATTAGTTAGCTAATTGTGTCTTTCATTAATATTATTATTATTATTAGTCATTACTTGTACACTTGTTTTACCTTTAGCCCTTTTCAGTTCATTCATGACATGAATGGCTGGGTCTCCATCTCCAGCTTTTGAACCTGTCAAAGTAAGACAGGTTTTGGATCTTCATATGGTTTCTTTCTGTTGGTTTACTCTCTCTAGATATATATACTATTAAGACATCAACGTCAAGGTTTGACCATTTCAACGCCTTTACTTTGTTCCTAAATCCTAATATATCATAGTTTATAGGTATCCGACCAAGAATCAATGGTTCCAAAGCATTAGGTAATGAAAGTTTCTTTTAGAATCATCTATGATGTTTTGAGTCAACATAACCTTCATCCTTTCATCAGACTAATCGTGTGTTAAATTGTCAGTAAGATTTTGTATTAGTTATCAAGCTCAATATTGTTGAAACTCGATCTGGATTTGTTCCGACTTAATCAATCTTTAGAATTTTTTCGTCGGCAAATAGTATTTATCAAGTATGTGGCTTGATCATCAAACATGAGTATCTGATAAATTGTGAGATTTTTTTATAAAGTGATAGAGGTTTAGTTTTATTATTACTTGCTGATGAAAAAAATTCAAACTTAGAACCTTCATATTGAAGACAAACTATTTAGTCGCTAGACCAATTCTTTATTCGCAGGTGAGACTCTATTGTAAGAAACTTTGCTTATTTTTTATCGCAATATAGATGTATGTATCTCTATACAAAGAGTATAACAATACACTACGATAACGAAATGAGGCATGAACAATATATATGTATTGTACACCAAGACATAAACATTTGATAAGTCTAATATTCTAACAAAAACTCGATAATTTTCTGATAAATCTTGCACATTAATGAAATTTACATGTTTTAACTAATACATATTTTTATTGTCTCTAAAGTTCTCAAATTGGGCAAATGCACAACCAAAATAGCAATTCAATTCCTCCCCCATGCAAATACTAATCAAATGTCACCATCCCTCCACTTCTCTTTGTCTTTACCAATTACCATTCACTACAAATTAATTTCTAACAAATAATAACAACAATAATCTTCTTATGATAATCACCACTTTCTTCTTAGAATAATCCCCTAATCATGCACTTAATCAATCTCCTTTCCCCTATATAAATCAACCATCTCTCCCACATCCAAATCAACCAACACCATCATACAACATGGCTACTTTCCTCCTCCTCCCTCTCCTCGCCTCCCTCGCCGCCGCGGCCGGCCAGGGCCACTCTCCCTCTCCGATCAAGGCAGCATACTACCCATCATGGGCGTCGGAAACCTTCCCGCCGGCGGCCATCGACACAACACTTTTCACCCACGTCTACTACGCCTTCCTCCTCCCCAACAACCTCACCTTCCTTATCCAACCCTCCTCCGACACGTCATCCCTCCTCCGCAACTTCACCGCCACCCTCCGCTGCGCCAGCCCGCCTCCGAAGACCCTCCTCTCCTTCGGCGGCGGCGCCGTCGCCGACCCGACGCTCTTCCCGCGGATAGTCTCCCGCCAAGACTACCGGCAAGCCTTCATAAGATCGGCCATCGAAGTGGGCCGGGCCCACGACTTCGACGGGCTGGACCTGGACTGGGAGTTCCCCAAAACGGAAACAGAAATGAGGCACTTGGGCCAGCTGTTGAGAGAGTGGCGGCGAGAGATCCGGATGGAGGCCCGGGAGACGGGCCGGGCCCCATTGCTGCTCACGGCTGCGGTGTACTTCAACCCGGAGTTCAATTGGGACCCGGTCTACCGGAAGTATCCGGTTCGGTCCGTGGCCAGGCATCTGGATTGGGCCAGCCCGATGTGCTTCGACTACCGTGGGGCCTGGGACACATCTGTGACCGGGGCCCATGCTTTGTTGTACGACCCCAATAGTAATATCAGCACGAGCTATGGGCTCCGGTCGTGGATCCAGGCCGGTGTACCTAGCCATAAACTAGTCATGGGGTTGCCATTGTATGGTCGGACGTGGCAACTGAAGGATCCGAATGTGACGTGGATCGGGGCTCCGGCGGTGGCTGCAGGGCCGGGGGATTTGGGGGTTTTGAACTTCAAGGAGTTGGAGGATTTCAACACTAAGAATGGGGCGACGGTGGTGTATGATCATACTACCGTGTCGGCTTACTCGTATGTTGGGTCGAGTTGGATTGGTTACGATGATGCAAAGTCCATATCCACTAAAATTGGGTTTGCTAAGGATCATGGGCTTCGTGGGTACTTCTTTTGGGCCTTGAGCTTTGATAGTGAGTGGAAAATCTCGAAACAAGGTGAGTTCGGTTTTCATTTGATTAATCTTCCTAAACAAGAAAAGTTACTATCTCTTTTGTTTTTTTATTTCTTACTCTAGTAAGTAGTTACCTTCTTAGCTTCTCTTTGCTCTTTGTTGCAGCTTCAAATGCTTGGTCCGAATGAGAAAGATGGGAGGTTCAGCTTGGAGAAGCGTCTCATCGCTACTCGTATACGTTAGAAAATTGTTTTTTCGTTGTCTCTTGTCCTTCATTTTGAATGATACATTGAAAACAATTTTCTTGTATAATGAGTTTTCTTGGCAGAAGTAAGTACATCAAGTCTGTAATACTATTTCAGGCATGAGGGATTTGTCAGGTTGCAAACAGTGCTTGTAATCTTTATCTTGTATGCTACTTTCTATATGAAGTTTATAGTACTCGTCTATACTAAGTTCGGAATATAAAATTAAAATGTTCATTGACTCGAATAGAAATGTCACGTGGATACAACACTATTCTTACTCATATGAAATTCACACGCCATAATGTTTAGTATGTTATAATTGTTATTTACTGCGCCCAAACAAGCACTTGCATATCATGGTACAAAAAACCCCAGTAGTGGGAAGAAAATGAACACAATCTAGAGTAAACAAGTACTCAAAGTTCGTAAGACTACGTGGTATTAACTTGTCATATCAGTATAATAATGTATCTAAGATCAACATATACGACTTTTGTTGAGGTCTGGTTACCTATTCATTTACCATTTTACCATGCAATCTTGAATCGTTGGGTTCTCCAATTCGTTCTCCGGTAGGGTTTCGCATCCCGATTTGCTGGAATTCTCAGCCATGAAAACTATCCCATGTTGTTGAAGCTACAAACAACCCAATTAGACAATGGACAATGCTATGTTATTTCATAACACTGTGATTCAAGAGTAAACCAAAAAAAATTGAGTAATCTATCTTTTCACTCAAAGAAAAAGGAAAAAATACAAAATTTACCTGTGATAGAGAGGCTCGAATTACCATCATCATAGCCCAAAGCCCAAAAGAAATACCCACCAAGCTTCTGTTCCTTAGCAAACCTAACCTTCTCCGACACCGTTTCCACCCCGTCGTACCCGATCCAACTACGCCCGGCGAACGAGTAATCCGATACCGTTTTATTATCAAACACCACCGTCGCTCCTTCCCGCGAATTAAATCCCAACACATCCACATAACTCATCGTCCCCTCAGAACCCGGCCCGACTCCCACAGCCGGAGCCCCGACCCCGTTCACCTTCGGATCCTTCAGCCGCCACGTCCGGCCGTACATCGGCATCCCCATCACAATCTTCGCCCGGGCAACCCCGGACCCGATCCACGACCCGATCCCGTACCCGGTACTGATATTACTCTCTTTATCGAACAGCACCGCTGGCTCCCCCGTCGCCGACGTGTCCCAGCTGCCGCGGTAGTCGAAGCACATCGCGCCGACGAAGTCGAGGCACTGGTTGATAGCGTCGGCCGGGTAGGAAGGACCCGCCGGCGAGAGGAAGAAGCTGGAGGCGAAGTAGACGGCGGCGGAGAGCTGGAGCATTGTCCGGTTGGTCGCGATGGATTCTGTAAGGAGGCTCGCTCGCCATTCTTGGAGGAGGACCCCCAAATTGGACATGTCGCCAGGTGTTTGAGGAAATTCCCAGTCGAGATCGAGGCCGTCGAAGTTGTGGCCCCTGGCGGATTTGATCGTGGAGGCGATGAATTTTGTCCTGGTGGTCGGGTTGCTGGACATGTTGGCGAACGCCGATGCGTTCGAGCCTCCGCCGCCGATGGAGAGGAAGAGCTTCGGCGGTGGTGGGGTTTTGGAGTGGAGGGTGGAGGTGAAGTTGGTCATAAGGTTTTGGTCGGATTGGGAGATGGCAAGCTCGTAGGATTGTGGGTCGATTTCGACGAAGGCGTAGAGGATGTGGGTGAAGAGGGAGGTTTGGATTGACGATGGAGGGAAAGATTCGGCCATGGATGATTGCCAGTAGCCTGCTTTGATGCCCGTGTTGTAGAGTGGAGCTTGAGGAGGTGAATCTGAGTTGGTTGGAGTTGGCAGGAGGAAGATAGTAGAGATTGTACAGAGGAATGGGAAGAGTGAGTTCCTGGAAGCCATGGCTGAACCTGAGAGCTTGGTTGGTTGAAGTTCTAGGGGATTGAATTTGGATATATAGCAGGAGAATTTGTCTTTAGTTGCGACCAATGAGCATTGAGTACATCGATTTCAATGGAGAATGATTGCGTGGCCGGCAGGGTTCTTCACTCTAGTGTAGATCGACTTGGACAAGAAAGCAGAGGAAGACAGTCCCCTGTATACTTTCAAGATCGTGTCAAACAAGAATGTCTCATTTCTTAGAAAGTCAGACTCTGTTTCTGTTTCATAATAGCCAATTCACAGAGAATCTAGTGATGTAGAATGTGCCGGCTACATTACATATTCTGCTCAATGTGTTCATGTAAAATATGCCTATGATACTGATAATCTTTGAATCGGCCGAGTAGATCAGAATTCAGATCATAATATGGGTTTGATTCTCAATTTACTCTCAAGATGTACGATCTAGTATAATCGACATACGCGAAGAGAAATTAACGAATTTTATATTGGTTTCGCTCGACTGATTCAAAGCCATAAGTCTTCCTCGCCATCATTACGGGGTCGTTTGCTTGATGGATTCGGAACTCAAATCCCAAGCATGATGGATTTTAGCCAAGTCCATTGTTTGTTGTCAAGTGTTAAATCCGTGGGGTCCACGGATTTATTCCCTTTTTTGGATCCAAATCTGTAGACCCCACGGACTTGTAAATCCCACATATTGGTAGGAGGTGTTCAAACGGTTTTTGGTTACCGTGGTAACTGTTTTAACCGTAACTATTTGGGTAATTTGGTTTGGTTAATTTGGATAATTGGTTTGATTTGGTTAAAGTTTTTAGCTTGTTTGGTTTAGGTGATTTGGTTTGGTTTCAGACACTCCTAACTAGTCAAACCAAATTAACCAGTTAAGTAATTAGTCATATATCTAACATATATTATAGGGTTAATACCCTTGTTTGGCCCGAAGTTTAGCGTAAGTGACACTTCTGGCCCCATTTTTCAAATAAGACATTTGTGGCCTACTTTTGAAATTATTGGACAGTTTTGGCCCAAAACTTGTGTTGACTGTTAACATTAACGGTCAAATATTTATTCCGTTAAATGATTCAGCATCCTATGCTGAAGTGGCAATGATGTGGCTGCATGTCATTTTTATTTCAATTCATTTTTTTAGTACTTAAAAACATGAAAAATAAACATAAAAACCCTAATCTAAACTCCCTCCTCCATCGACCCTCCCCTCTCATCCGCCGCCACCATGGATCGGAAGCAGAGCTCCCCCTCTTCTCTGCCATCGTGGATAGCAAATCCCACAAGAACCCCAATCTCAATTAGATAACAAACCCAATCCCCTCTTCCTCTGCTCTCTCTTCGCAATAAATATCACAATCCTAATCTTCTTCTGCCGTTGGCATCGACGACAACCACCACCACTTCCACTCCTCTTCCTCCCCACCCTCCTACTTGGAACTCGTTGCCATCTTTAACCGCCAACCCATTTCTCATCACCGACCACGAATCCAAGGGTGATTGGAGGGTGAATTTCGCGTTTCCTCCAGATCGGTCTGAGGGAGAAGACGAACAGCCACCAGTTCGTTCGTCTAAAGAAAAGACGAACAGAACCCGAATCGCGTGCGAATCCTAGGCCCTTTCCGCATATGAGGAGTAGCTATAGACCTAGAAGACGAAGCGGCAGCGGCGGCGGCGTCGGACTCTGCATCTGCCAATCCGTATTTCAAGGCATCGTTGTTGGGGTCGAAATCGAGCCCTTGCGCAACAATAGCGTCCTGATACTAGGTCAAGCCGAGATGAGCGGCGCTGGGCTGGAGTAGCCCTTGGACCAGTCGGGCTTGAGCTCGACGGTTTTCTTGGCGTCGGCATACTTCTGGATGGAGGCGTATGCCGCCGATCGATTGGAATAGAGTACGTGGTTGGTGGGAGTGAGGGCGATGGCGTCGGAGAAGTGCTTGATGGCGGTGGTGTAATCGCCGACGGAGAACACCGCGTTGCCCTTTGCTTTAGCTTCGTCCGCCATCGTAGATTGCAAATTCGATTGATTAAAAGGATTAGAGAAAAGGGTTTTGCAGAATTGAACTATGATTAGCAAATACGATGTAGAAAGAAGGTTGATTATAGGAGGAGAGGAAGACGAGAAGGTTCTGGCAAATGGTGGTGAAGGAAAAGGAGTGAGGGTTGGAGAAAAGAGAGGGCTCTCTCGAAGAAGATAAGAAGTAGGGTTTTTTAGGATTTCATTTATTTAAAGTTGTTTTTTATTTTAATTAATAAGTGATGTGGATGCCATCTCAGCACTAGATGCTGAGTCATTGACGGAATAAATGTTTGACCGTTAATATTAACAGTCAACACAAGTTTCGGGCCAAATTTGTCTAATAGTTTCAAAAGTAGGCCATAAACGTCTTATTTGAAAAATGAGGCCAGAATTGTCACTTACGCTAAACTTCGGGCCAAACTAGGGTATTAACCCTATATTATATACACATAATACTTTGCATAACCACTCAAGAGTTAACGTTCATCCCTTTTAGACTCATAAAATATAAAGCTCAATATTGCTCATATAGTGTATATTTGTATATGTAAAGTCTAGACCACAACATATGGACGCCTAATTTAGATAAATTTCATACATTATGCTGAATGAAAACTTGAAAGGAAGGTCATATCCAGCCTGTGATAATTGCTAAGAGACTAAGTCAATTTACACAAACACAACAATTCATTAACCCATACTATTGTCATAATTTTTTGTTAGGTGAATACTTATATACTAATCGTAAGATAATTATCTTAGTTGCATGTATTTTTGTTAAGGGTCAACTATAACTACGTGTTGATTGTTATGTGTTATTCATTATATAAATTGTGAATTGTTGCATTAACCGGAAAATTTTCATCGTCAATGATAATGTGATTTTATATTGGTTAATCTGGTTAACCAATTAACCAAACCGATTAAACTTTTGGTTAATTTGGTTGTTGTATTAGTTTGGACGGTTTAGTTATGATATTGTATTCCATGGTTAATGGAATTTAGTCTTATTTGGTTTGGTTATAACCATGATAACCATTTGAACACCCCTACATATTGGGGTGGGATTTGTAAATCCTTGATAGCTAGTTATATTTATAGCAAATCCATCATAATTATATCATCAAATCTATCATGCAAACAATAGACTCTTCAAATCCATGATGGTACAAATCCCTCATAAATCCAAAGGTTTTTTTGAGCCAAAACCCTCATTTTTCAAATCCAACAAGCAAACGACCCCGTTCCTTGGTGACCCAATGGTGGTTGAAGCGTTGGTCCTCCGGGAGGCGATTAGTTGGTGTTTGGCTAATGGATTCACTGTCATGAGGTTTGAAGGTGATGCCCAGGTGATAATTGAGAAGATTCGAAGGAAGGATGTTCGTGATAATCGGATAGGGGCAATTCTGGAAGAGATAGTGAACTGTTTAGCTTTTAACATATGTTTCACTGTACGATTTGTAGGTCGACGTAACAATAGGGTAGCTCATTTGGTATCTAGACAGGCCCTGTCTTTGTTCCCGACTACATGTCGATCTTTTGATTTCCAAGCCTGGCTGAATTCCAGGATGTAACGATCTATTGTTCTCAATCTATATGATTATCTTTTGTAAAAAAAAAAAAACTAACTAACTAACGACCCCGAACAAGCATTTCATGAGAGCCATCCAAGCTGCAAAAGAAACTGCAATGGTTTTTTTGGTTTGATTCCACCCGGAATAAACGTGACAGAACATTCTTCCACATTCTCAACTAAAATAATTCTCAGAGCTGGTTGTACACGATTGCAGAAAAGAATTGAGGAACAATAGTAGACCACATAAAAAGAACGCATTTTTTCCCCAGAATCCGACACAAAAATAGCTCGTCCTATTTATCTATGTTAGTTAACAATGCTCCATTTGTCAGACGTGAGGCATTCTGGCAAAGATCTGTGAATAGATCGATGGGGGTGATCTAGACTAAAATGGATGGTTAGCTCACTGTTACCAAAACCTTGGACACTGTCGAAGTAGAAGCTATCTGCCGCCACTTTTCTGCTTCTTCCAGTCTACAAAATTGTCGAGGATCAATGGCCAGGCTTGGTTCTCGTCGTAGTTCGCCATATCTGGAAAGCTAATCTGTAGTTGAAAGAAGATAAATAGGATTAGTACTAAGACCTCCTGGCATAGTTCACTATATTAATTTCTGATGGGAGGAAGAGGCACAACATTTAGTCTTACCTCCTTGCAAAACCGAAGGAAACCCATCCACTGATCCTTATTTATCACTTTGTAATCTTTTTGGACCTTCCAGAAAGTTGAAAGCATAGTTATACGATGGCCACCTTAAATAGAAAAGCAAATCTCAAGACTAAGCTAAGAACTAGTAAGTGCTGATACCTACCTTTAGGTACTCAACTAATGAATCAACCTGGGAACGGAATTGATATCCGAGGACAATTTTCAGCAATTCACAGGTGCTTTCTATATCTACACCTTTTTGCTTCTCTTCTGAGACACATTAAGGGGAGAGTTAAGTGCAGGTTAGAAACTACGGGAAAGAGAATTATTGCAGCATCACTTTGGCCTTATAATATCGACTTCACCTGTTAAGCAGTACTTGAATGCAAATGAGTAGAAGTCCTCAAAATTTTGTGGTGCCTCCGCCTTTTCACCATTAATAACAATGGTTCAGTAAGTAAATAAGATTCTAGAGCAAACAACATACTAATGAACTGACAATATTTATAGACTATTTCATGAAAAGTTAGACCACCTCTTTCTTCAGTTCTGAGAGTGCCTTCACTAGTTTCAATAGAGTATTAGCCTTGAGAGCTTTCATGCCTGCTTGCCACTCATCCTGATGGAGCAAAAGGATGGACAAAAAGACAGGTCGATTAATCTAACTGCGAGTTATGCCAATAGTTTAAGACCAAGGTTGTTTCCTTTTCCAATATTTACCTTCGTAAAATATCCTTGCCGCTGAGCTTTCATTTTCCTGAAAATGAAGCATGAAGTTCTTAGCTCCACAGTACACATTAAAGTATAACAAACTTATCAAATGACTTCCGAAACAGTAAACTACATACCAAGCAAGCATCAGGATTCTCACATCAGTGTATTCCACTTTCATGTCTGAACACAACGTCTCAATTCCTTCGGGGCTGTTTCAAACAACATAAGACTATAAATGTATCATATCCTCTCCAAAATGCTTGCTTCAGTACACCAAAAGTCATAAAATCCATACACAGTACAATTTCTATAAGAAATCAAAAGCTCCAGTGCAATTCATTCTAACATCATCAACTTCATATTTCAAGAAGCCAATGCTTATACAGAGAATTTGAAGCAAACCTATTACACTGCAAGCAATGAGTCCAAACTGAATCGTGAAAAAAATGAGAAAACAAGATGAATGAATCACTCACTCAATCTGCCCCAACGAACTGTTTGCATATGTATCGAATAGGTTGTCGATCTGGTCACTCTCCTTCAACCTGGTTTTACTTGTTGCTGATTCAAAAAAAACATAAACAAAAAAAAAAAAAACCGTAGCTGGGGGTCAGAGTTCAGAAAGCTGCAGCACATGCATATGAACTACATTACTTCTAAACACCCATTTTCAACTCAGAAAGCGGTAAATTCCCATTGGCGTACTACTAGACTTCATATACCTACTCTTGAGAAAGCTTCCGTCATTCTGATCTATCTACACTTCTAATTTCTCCTACCAGCAAAAAACAATAAATAATGCCTCCAAAAATCCCAAAGATTCAACTCTTGAACAACCCTTATGTCATAGCTAATCCAACCAACCTCCCAGCTGCTCAATTTCACGGAAAATGATGGGCATATCAACTTGAAGAATGACGATTCTTCACAACCCTAGAATTAGAATCGCCATTGAATTAACCAAAACAATTCAACAATCATTGAGTTCAAATCCCATATCAAATTCCCTCTTATCCATTCCCAAATGCCAAGGCTTCCCTGTCCAGATAACTAGTCACTAAAAGATTCAGCTACTGATCTACGGGGGGCAAAAGATTCTTTTCAGGTCCAATTTTCCCGGCAACCAAACAAGTGATTTCCGGGGTGAAAAGGGAACAAAAGGGTATAAATTACCTTTGGCGGTGCGACTCCGGGACTGATCAGGTGGCGGAGCTGTGACGGAGGAGGAGCTTGCCGGGGCCGCTTTCCGTTTCGACGCGCGAGGCATTCCGGTTCGTCGGATCCGCTGACCACAAAGTAAAGTCAAAATCTCTAAACCCCGCCCCAGTGGAAAATCAAAAAGAGAGGAAAGAAAAATCGAATCTTTAATCTTTCTAAATACTTTTTTTCCCGGTAATTTCAGAGATGGGAGAAAGGAAGAACACCGAAGAGAGAGTAAGCTCTGTGGAGTGGAAGAAGGGATCCTTTTTATAGGACGAAAGGAAAGGGAGCCAAGCCAGCTATGGATTTCCCCATGGGCCCACAACACGGCTCGTAATAGCAGGTGCGGGCCTATCCGACTCGCCGAGCCCAAATTTAGGCCCACAAATTATTTCAGCCCAACCCGAGCATCTGCGCGGCCCGTGGGGGACAGCTGTGCATAAAGACTTCGTCTCTGCGTTTTCTAGGGTTTTTCAAACCGCTGAGGAATTTTTTTGGGGGTGTTTCGTCAACTTCTCCGGAGTACGAGCCTCTCTTCCCGGCCGCGAAAATGGTGAGTTCTCAAGCTCTGCTTCTCGGTTGAAACTTCAACGGAGTTCCTTGTTTTCTTGTGGATTTCGGATGGTAATGGCGGGATTTTCCGATGTTTGCAGCCGTCGCACAAGACGTTCATGATCAAGAAGAAGCTCGGGAAGAAGATGAGACAGAACCGGCCGATTCCTGGATGGATCAGAATGAGGACAGGAAACACGATCAGGTACTCTCGTTGTGCCGCTTCCCGTTTCCGATTTCTCACTTTTGTTCCGAGTTCTTTGCTGATTTCGCGGTTGTGGTTTTTTTGCAGGTACAATGCGAAGCGCAGGCACTGGCGCCGCACCAAGCTAGGGTTCTAAGCTGGGGAGATGGAACAATGGTGGATTACAGAATGAGTTAACTCCGGAAGCTCTCTATCAGTCAGTTCTAATTCTCTGAGGTAGTTAAATTTTGGTAGTATGTGAGGCGTTTGAAGTTGTGAACATGTAGAGAGGAATTTTGGATGAGATTACAGTTTACAGCTTGATATGTTCAGCTTGGTACTAGTGATTGAGTTGATGGATTTCTGACTCGTATCTGAAGAGTAATGCAAGGTCGTGATGTCGATTAATTGGCTTTCATTTCGTCGTTGATTTCGCTAGTATTGTTGTGCTCCTGTTCCTTGTATTTCTGCGCTCTCCACATTGCATTTCTACGTGGAAGTAGGATTGGTTTTCGCTGTGATGTCTGCTGCGATGGATGTGCTGTTTGAGTAGAGTAATGTAGGCAGATTCGACAATGTAGTTGTCGAATGCTCTGCATTCTGGTTAAGGAATGATGCTCGATTGATGTCGGAGTAATGGCTAGCTCATGGCTAGTTGATCAACGAGAATTGAGTTTATGCTTGTGTTTTGCTGAGGTTATGTACAGCGAGATTGTTCAAATATCGAACGAGTTTCTGATCCTTGAACAAGTTGTAGGGAACATGATGTCTTTGCTTTGCTTCTTTGTTAGCAGTTGAGTGTGTATGTATCTTGGAAAAGGTCCAAGTTAGCTTTGCTTGGGTATCAAGCTAGGTATAAATATCATCCATTCGGTGTGAAAACAGTTGCTCTCTAAATCAATATCACAATACATTGAAGGTTTACCTATTTATAGTCGTATAAAAAGTAAGTATAAATCACGTTATCAAATACATTTTTTTCTTCTTAATATCTTTCAATTCATATCCTAAATCAAGCATGGTAATATTGTTTGAGAGATGACACGATTATGTTTGTAACTTAAATCGGTGTAGATGTGACATTTGTCAATTGTGATATTTTTTTATTAACACGACGAAAATTGATAAAAAAAAAACCTCAACCACGATACAAAATAAGTTTAATGATAGCATAAAACACAACCACCAAAATTTAAAAGTCAAACAAAATGAATAGTGTTGTATTCTTTTGCCCCTCAACCGGTCCTCTAATACTAACTAACTTCATCAGTTCATCGATAATTTTGGGGAGCCACAAAAAATTATTATAGCAGACTTAATCTCACACCTTTCGTTTTGTGAAAACCATATTTTTTCTTACCTATAAATATGTCATAGTTTCACCCAAATGTCTTGGCTTATCTCCTTCAAAATAAACCCAATAATTTGATTAGTATCATCCTCCTCCAATCCTTCTCCGTTCCTCTCATCCCATTCATGGGAGGAACACATCTTGATTTAACATTGTAAGTTTTTGAGAAGCCCGGCCCCCGCCTTTTCCTTCTGGAAAAGCAATCGCAGGGCTCTCAAGAACTAATAAAAAATATTTAAGAAAAGTTCGAAAGAGAGAAGAGAATATAAAAAAGAAAAGGATTCTCTTGTAGTTTTTCTCCATTTTCTCATTCTTTAGGCCCGTGTGATTCGAACAACATGGCCGACGTGTCTCTAGAAGAGATCAAGAATGAGAAGGTGGACCTTGAGAAAATACCCGTGGATGAAGTGTTCGAGCAATTGAAATGTACGAGGAAAGGGTTGACGAGCGAGGAGGGCGAGAAGAGGCTCCAGATCTTCGGGCCCAACAAGCTCGAGGAGAAGCAAGAGAACAAGTTCCTCAAGTTTTTGGGGTTCATGTGGAACCCTCTCTCATGGGTCATGGAGTCTGCAGCTATCATGGCCATCGTATTAGCCAATGGAGGAGGCAAGCCCCCAGATTGGCAGGATTTCGTCGGTATCGTCGTCCTGTTGATCATCAATTCCACCATTAGCTTCATCGAAGAAAACAATGCTGGCAATGCTGCTGCTGCTTTGATGGCCAATCTCGCCCCCCAAGCTAAGGTATGGTGTTACTCCTTTATACAATTACACATGTTTGAAATGTTTTGTCAAGAAACAGTTAACGATTGAGACCTTTTGTGTTTGAAGGCACTGAGAGATGGGAAATGGCAAGAGGTGGAAGCAGCAGTGCTGGTTCCAGGAGATGTGATCAGCATCAAACTGGGCGATATCGTCCCAGCTGATGCGCGTCTCTTGGAAGGAGATCCTCTGAAGATTGATCAAGCTGCACTCACCGGAGAATCTCTTCCTGTGACGAGGAGTCCCGGTGATGAAGTCTTCTCCGGCTCAACTTGCAAGCAAGGTGAGATTGATGCCATCGTAATTGCCACCGGTGTGCATACCTTCTTCGGCAAGGCTGCTCATCTTGTTGATAGCACCAATAATGTTGGCCACTTCCAACAGGTAATCATGGTTATAATTCAAACTACACATAATCCTCTGTACTCTGCAACCCTTCAAGCACCTTGTCTTCCACCGTAGTAAAGCTTACTGTAATCTTGTCTGTGGCTCAGGTGTTGACATCGATCGGTAACTTCTGTATCTGCTCGATTGCGGTGGGTGTGATCATCGAGATTATCGGGATGTATTTCATTCAACACAGGCAGTACAGAGCAGGAATTGACAACCTGTTGGTGCTTCTCATTGGAGGGATCCCGATCGCCATGCCCACAGTTTTGTCCGTGACAATGGCTATCGGGTCTCACCGGCTCTCAGAGCAAGGCGCCATCACTAAGCGAATGACTGCCATTGAAGAAATGGCTGGCATGGACATACTCTGCAGTGACAAAACTGGGACACTCACCCTTAACAAGCTTACAGTCGACAAATCCCTCATTGAGGTGTTCCCAACGAGAATGGATGCCAACCACCTAATCTTGCTTGCTGCCAGAGCTTCCAGAGTCGAAAACCAGGACGCCATTGATGCCTCAATTGTTAATATGTTGAGCAATCCCAAAGAAGTAGCTAATCTGCATTCCCTTTCACTTTTTCTTCATGTGGAAATCAAAAGAATTTCAGCTGACTCATGAATGCTTTCTTGGAATGTACGTTTTCTTTCGCAGGCAAGGGCAGGGATCAATGAAGTCCATTTCTTGCCATTCAACCCTGTTGAAAAGCGGACTGCAATCACTTACTACGACAGCGATGGCGAATGGCACAGGGCAAGTAAAGGCGCACCTGAGCAAATCATTGAACTCTGTGATCTCAAAGGGGAAGTCAACAAGAAGGCTCACAAGATCATTGCCGACTTCGCCGATCGCGGCCTTCGTTCTTTGGCTGTTGCTTATCAGACGATTCCAGAGAAGAATAAGGAAAGCGCAGGATCAGAATGGGAATTCGTTGGGCTGCTGCCACTCTTTGATCCTCCAAGGCATGATAGTGCAGAAACAATCCGACGAGCGCTTGAACTTGGAGTTAGTGTCAAGATGATCACCGGCGACCAGCTTGCTATTGGGAAAGAGACCGGCCGACGCCTTGGCATGGGCACAAATATGTATCCTTCATCTGCCCTCCTCAGCGACAACAATGGATCCTCCATGAACATCGACGAGCTCATCGAGAAAGCTGATGGGTTTGCCGGAGTCTTCCCTGGTAAAATACCAAATCAAAACAACTCAATCTTTGCATTTCCTCTTCCGCCCATTATAGCTCGGCATTTGCTTAAAGATTCATTCTTTGCCATTTTCAGAGCACAAGTACGAGATCGTGAGGAGGCTTCAAGACAGACAACACATCGTCGGTATGACCGGAGATGGAGTTAACGATGCTCCAGCACTAAAGAAGGCCGACATAGGAATCGCCGTTGATGATGCTACCGACGCTGCTCGCAGCGCCTCGGACATCGTCTTGACGCAGCCAGGGCTGAGTGTCATCGTTAGTGCTGTCCTTACAAGCAGAGCCATCTTCCAGAGAATGAAGAACTACACCATCTATGCAGTTTCCATCACAATCCGTATTGTGTTTGGATTTCTCCTGGTTGCCTTGATCTGGAAGTTCGACTTCTCTCCTTTCATGGTTCTGATCATTGCCATCCTAAACGATGGCACGATTATGACCATCTCGACGGACAGGGTGAAGCCTTCCCCGGTGCCCGATTCATGGAAGCTCAATGAGATCTTCGCCACTGGGATTGTTCTTGGATCTTATATGGCAATTATGACAGTCTTCTTCTTCTGGCTTGCCGAGGACACCGATTTCTTCACGGTATGTTTAGATCAATGTGATACCACTTTCAGGAAACGAAAACCAAGTAACAAAAACAGAGACTGAAGTTCGCATTTTTGTTGCAGAACACATTTGGGGTGAAATCAATTAGAGGAAGTCATGAAGAGCTTACAGCAGCACTTTACCTTCAAGTCAGCATTATCAGCCAGGCTCTCATCTTCGTCACCAGAACACGAGGCTGGTCCTTCTCTTACTCCGAACGCCCCGGGATTTGGCTCGTCGTCGCCTTCCTAATTGCCCAATTGGTAAGCAGTACGCAAATTTTCTGACTTTTCCTCATCGTTGAGGCAAAACATCAAACACCTTAACTGCGCCAATCCGGTTTTACTTTCTTTCTCTGAAGGTGGCCACCATAATTGCCGTCTACGCGAAATGGGACTTCGCCGGAATCGCCGGAATTGGGTGGAGATGGGGCGGAGTCATCTGGCTGTTCACCATCGTCACTTACATTCCTCTCGACATCTTGAAGTTCCTCATCCGCTTCGCGTTGACAGGGGAGGCCTGGGAAAATTATCTCGATAACAAGGTTCGCAATCCGAACAAGAAACCAAAAGAAAGACTCGAATTTTGAACCTCTCCCTAATCATGGATTCCGTTTCAATTTCTTTCTTCTTGCAGACGGCTTTCACGACGAAGAAGGACTTCGGCAAGGGCGAGAGGGAAGCTCAATGGGCGGAAGCGCAGAGAACACTCCACGGGCTTAAGAAAACAGAGTCTCCGACCGCCGCGGCCGCCGCCGATATGCACCGGTACAGCGATGCGGTGTAGGTGAAGATGGCGGGAGATTTAAAGTGGAGGAGGAGAAGGAGGGAAAAACAAAATTTGTGGGGATTTTGGATTGTTTAGTGAAAAATGGAAAAAAAAGAGGTTAAACTTGAAGGGAGATCATTCCAAGCTATATTTAAAATATTATTAATTTTCCTTATTTTTGCTATTGAGATATTGAAAGTAAAATTAATATTTGGTTTAGTTCTGATTTTGAAGAGTTTTCAATTTTCATTCATGTTAGGTAATGGATGGTTGGGTAGGGTCTTGCAGCTCATGGGAGGCTGAGAATGTAGATCTGGAAATTGGAGAATTTAATAACAAAAAAAGGACTAATTACAAAATTGACAATATCATATGTCCTCACTTTCAATGTTTTGATTTTCTCCCAATATCTTGTTGGCAAAAATAATGTAAGCAATGAAAATTTATGTGAATTGAGCCATTGGATTGGACTATAACTGGTTTGATTTGTTTTTTATTCGATTCGAGTTTGATTTTTAGATTGTTTGTATTTTAAAAAATAGTGAGAAAATATTGTTTAAATTAAAATAGGATCGAACCATATCAAACCAAAATATTATTGTACAATGATTGGTCCTCTCGTTCTTCAAAAAATATAATTTAGGTAGTAATTCTCCTCACCTAACGTATAAGAAAATTAAATTTTATTCAATATTTCATTTTTGACAGAGCCTCCTCACATTTTCCTTTAAAAAAATAATGATAAACACTTATCTAATTATTTAATTTTGTTGGTAACAATATGCATAGGTAAATGCCACATTTGGCCACTAGGATTACTAAATCGTGTTATGTTTAGGCACTATAAAAAAATTAATATCAATTTTGGTCAATCGAATTACTAAAACAGTTCATATTTAGTCACTCTTCCGTTAGCATCCGTCCAACTCCAGTCACTCGAATTACTTTTTTTTTAATGAATGTCACTCGAATTACTGAAACATGTTACATTTAGTTACTCTCTATTAGCCTCCGTCCAACTCCGTTTTTCTAAGCATGATACTGTTTTGAGATGATTATTATATTGTATCGTCTATGAGATGATTAAAACTTTTCACTTCCATCATAATCAATAGAATACACAAATATTATGAAAAAAATATACCACCCAATTTTCATTGGTTAAATGGATAATTTCTTATAAGATTGTACGATTTTGACTATATACACTCATACCATATTAGTTAGTTATCTCATTCTAACAATTACACTGGTATGGATTGAACCACGATTCTATACATAATTACTAACTTGTTCTGCAAGATTTTTTTTTTACAATGTTTTGTGTAACACCCCACCCAGAATCTCTATGGTTGAACACGTGGTTCAACCGCGCAGCCAAATCCTTGGTGTTACTAGTTGAACTCAATCATCTCAAACATCATATCCGATTATTAAACACAAACATAAACCGTTATCATACAAACTCATTATTCGATCCCCAACCCACTTATCTAATTTTACAAAATGTGGGTTATTATTGAAAACCCTCAAAGCAGAAATCCTAGGTGACCATGACAGAACAGTGTTCCAAACTACCTCATGATGGTAGTACAGAAGGATAGGGCAGCCTCAGTAGTCCGAACGTGTTGCACTTGCGAGCCTGAAAACTAGGGCTGGGAAAATAGACCAGACCGTTAGAAAAACCGTGGTCCAAACCGTACCGCACAGTTTGGTCCGGACCGTAGACGTTAAGTATGGTCTGGTCTGGTCCATGGTCTGTACTATATTATGTTTTGATCTCTTGGTCTGGTCTGGTCTAGACCGCGGTTTATCGGACCAAACCGTGGATCCAACTGACTTGTAAATACATGTTAACAGCCCATTCGACCACTCTCCCAACTCCCACAACGACACTCAAGTCTCAACCTTAGTTTTGTGAATCTCGTCCCTCCTTAATTCACAACCATATTTAACTAGATAGTAGAGATAATCGTGTCTCCATATGACATTATGTTAATGTTTATGACGTTATGGTGCAAGTTGGGATGCTTTTACTTTGTATCTTTGGTATGTACTAAGATTTAGAGTATCAAAATTATTCATGCATGTTAGGATTAATGATTTAAGGCAAATAACAATTATTTTTCCTGGTTATTGGTTTCACTTTTTTGTGTGGTTGACTAAACAAATTATTCATTTTTCGTTGAGTGTGGTCTATCTGGACCAGACCAGACCGAACCAGACCGCACAAGCGTGGTCTGGACCGAACTGTATAGTCTATGGTCTGGTCTGTGGTCTATACTTTAGCCTCTCGATCTGGACCATAGACCGTACAGATGGTCTGGTCTGGACCAGACCGCACCGTTTCCCAGCTCTACTGAAAACAGACGTGGGTCAGCAACTAAGCTGTGTGTGTGAATCTTTCCCACGACCTAATTTTGGGACCGCAATCAGCTAATCAAACAATCGTAATTAATCATAATTTAGTACTCCAGATGCCATCTTAAATCATCATATATATAAATTACCGATCAAATTATCGAATCCACCAACTCATCATCACCAAATCAATTTATCAAATAAGATAATCACATAATTTACGAACACATAATCAATTCATGATATGAACATTCTGGTTAATTATTAATGGCGCCAAGGTCACCATGCACTTACCCTCGCTCAAGCAAATCATCATCCGTGGTGCTCATGCAACCACAACACTCAATCGCATAAGCGAGCTAAATCTACCCACTCTCAAGGGGTGAGGGTAAGTGCAGGCCCTTTCTACATCTACGTGAATTAATATGATCACAAATCAAACCATTTCCATTTTTCTCATCCGTCACAGACAATCCGGAATCAATGTAGTCCCACTGGTTAACCGGTCCATAAATATATATTTCTCGTCGATTATCAACTCGACGTTTCTAAAAATCAACTATCCCATCATCCAATACCAAATCATATAAATTATCTCATTCTCTAGTAAAGCTACTTAGCAGTACTATATCACCATTCCTCATCCAAAATTCATAAACAATTTCACGAAATAGATCCGATACAAATAATTGTAAATAACACGTTTGCGGTTAAAAATATCCTTAACTCAAAATTCACTTTCCTTCATTAAAATCCTCACAAAATTCATGTAAATGAATTTATTGACACAAAAATCCATTTCATCCAGTTCTGATAATAAAATCAATTTAGACAATAAAATATCAAAAATCTCGTATTAACCATTATTTTACGGTAACTTAAATTCCAACTAAACGGTAAATCCGAAAAATCTCCCAAAAATACAAGAACCTTCATTTATCATCCTAAAACAGGTCTGTCCAGTTGTTATATTTTTCAACAAATCAAAACCATGAAAATAATATTACACTCGGTCTTTCTCGCAAATCTCGTATTAATCTCGTTTTTACCAATTTAAAGATAAACATTTCACCAACGGTCTAATTTACCATTTCCATACCAAACCCCATTTAACAATCCATACTGTCCATTTTAAAGTGATCAAAATCTTAAAGATAAATAAAACACATTTTTATCGAGCTTTCCGTAAAATTCACTGTTATGCAGTTTTTAATCCAGAAACAATTTTCAAGTGAAAACTTCTGCTCAAAATGCCCCAACATCATTTTAGATAAACCAAAATATCTTAGATTAGTTTTAAACTCAATAAACCCAACTATCCATTTTTACGGTGAAAGTTGTCAAATACCGATATTTACACCGTAAAATCCATAACAATTAAGAATGATCACCAAATCATCATATCAACAAATAATTTATCACCCACAGTAATCCATCCATCCAAATATGTAAATCAAGCATAAATAATCGATGCAATAATCAAGGTCCTCTTAATCTCCACACACCTTAATTTAGCTGATTCCAAGTCGGTAATTAAGTTCTAAAATTCCAGAGATTGGCTCCCAAAAATTCTCCTTGTTTCTACGGTCCTGTAGGAGAAAACGGTTCGTCATTTGGACGTCAAACGAAGAAACTGCGAGTTGATCATCGTTAGTACGAAGTTACGGATTAATTGTTAATTTTCTGCATGTCCCAAAATCTGCAGAAAACTGGAAATTTTCTTACCTCGCGTACCAACTTCCCATCCTTGTTTCTCCCTCGTCTGAGCTCGGAATTCAATTCCGTGAACTCTGTGATGCTCGTGGAGACTTGCTCTTCGCAACGGTATCAAGCTTCGTAGCTGATACTACCTTTAATGGTGCTGGTTTGACTGACGAAATGGTCACGGCAAAAGTTTCGGCGAAGAATATTTAGTGAGTTGGTTTGACGATTTTGGCTTGTAAATAGGTTTGTATAGGTTCTAAACCTTTGCTGGGAATACAGAGGCTATGCTAGGCTTTGGTTTCATATTATTTCTGTTGATGCCAAGGTTAGAGCAGCCTGCTTCAATATGTTTAAGGTCCGGAGAGCGCTGATTTCCCAAAGCCTTTAACCACCTCCAGCTCCGTGCGAATACCTGAAAAAAGGTCCCACCGGGGGGGGGGGGGGGGGGGGGGGGGGGGGGTCCTGGTTGGAACCTCCTCCGACGCTCAAATTAGTAACCTAAATGGAATAAAATAAATACGATGACGTTAGACCTGGTTCGATCCCACGGTCGTAATTGAGCGTCGTCGGCTATTTAATGCCGGCCAGTGGAGACTATCCACGATTCCATGGCTTAGTCCGCCAAATTGAGAGTGTGTTGAGTGTTAAGAAATTTAACACGTTTTTGGGAGATCGGGAGGAGAGAGAAAACGTTTTTAGAGAGAGAAAGTAGAGAGAGTGTATATTGTGTGTGAGTTGTGTGAATTAGTCGTAAGCGACTTATGTGGTGTGTGTGTGACTTGTTGTGTGGAGGGACTTATGGTCTGTTGAGAAAGGGGGAGGGGTGCTCCCTATTTATAGGAAAAAGTCGTAGTTGAATTCCTCGACTTACGCTAACATTCACCAACATTCTCCATTATTCCCCTATACTCGTTAATATTCTCCGCTATACCTTAACATTCTCCGTCATACACTAATATTCCTCACCAATTATGGCATATGAGAAAGTTCAAATGTGTATGAGAAAATGTAAGTATGTCATTGAAAATAAAGGAGTGAATGGGAGATAGGAAGAAGTCATGGGGATGAAAGGTATAAATAATTATAGAGGAAGGAAGGTTTGTACGTATGCATGCATGTGTATGCAAGTGGGTGAAAATAGAAGAAAGATTGGGGAAAGAAGGAGAATGGAATGGTGTCTGTGTCTTTCTCATGTGGGCAAAATAAATGGAAGGGAGGTAGTGTGACGTGAGAGGGAAAAGGAAGGAAGAATGAGACAAGAATAATGGTTATGGAAAGATAGGAAAAGTAAAAGGACAAATAAGAAGTTTAGGAAAAAAAAATAAGAAAGTGAGTAAAGGAAAAAACAATAACAGTAGTTAAAGGAAAAAAACAATGAAGGATTTTGATGGTATAATACAAATTTTCGGGTATTTCGGGTACCGCAATGATTAACAATTTATCGAGTGTATTAATGAAAGGACATGTGTTTAATATTTTAAAATTTTATCGATTAAGAACTGGGTCTATCAATTTCTTTTCTTTTCTCTTCTTGGTGTTTGTACGAAGGCAAAAATGGAGAGTTAGCTTACCGGTATTATAGAGCTCTTTGATTCATGCTCTTACCTCTTCATTTACTTTCCAG